TATATTATATATATAAGAGAGAGACACGCGCACAAACACACACATTGTATATTCGAACGCCAAATCTGACAACAGAGCACGTACACAAGATGCCAGTCACTGTGGCTGCTGATAATACTTGTTGTTGAAAGAAGAATTAAACTTGCAGGGTAAATAGCATTTAAAATAAATGTTATGACCAGTTATAAATGCTGTCAATTGCAGGTGCCTCTCTTAAATACAGTGGGAGGAAATTCCACTTTCCATTCTTTTTCCATTGTCCAAGGCACAGTCTGAGATTGTTTTTTCTTAAATTAATGAGACGCGAGTATCGAGACACTGCCGTTGTAAATTAGAGATATATTGTGGTGCCTGCTTGTTTAAACACATACAAAACAATACAGCAACTCTGCAATTGATAAGGACTTAATTAGGGAGCCAATGCTACAATGGTGTTGTGTGTTATCCTGTATTCATATTCCTTACTTTGAAATACGCGTCGTTAACTTGAAGCATGTTCTAGACGCTTTTTGTTATAATTTTTAATCTGTTATAAGTCATAGTTCTTCTGAAGGCTTGGAAATAATTATCAAAAGAACGAAAAGCCGTATTGATATAGTTTCATATTCACGAACCCTCTCTGGTGGAAGATTCACACTACCGCCTCACGTGAACAGTGTATTAAGTTTCATGTACGGCGTGAAGTGTGGGACAAGCAACCAATCAGAAGACGCTGAGCAACACAGAACAGAGCTAGACATTCTGGGCATATTTCCTCAGATCTGAATCCACAGTAAAATTGCTGGAAATTTTGCACAATACCACTTCAGCGCAGTTTTCTTGGGGTATTGTTTTTCGTGAGCGCATGCGTTGATCGTTTAATCCTTTAAGCGATCTGGGATTTTTTCTTTCCATTTTGAAATCGTTACCACCTTTTAAAAATATTTTAATTTGGGTCGAGATTCGAATAGTCAAGCCCTATCAATAATACTTTCAGTCGGATAAAAGTTTCGTTGAGTTCTCCGTTCAGAACTTACTTAAACTGCTACGCACCTCTGGGTTGGCCAGTATCTGTGCTGGGACATGTGGGTTGTCGTGACGTCATGCGCGGAAGACTCTTTTAACTTATTTTTATAAGATAGGTGGAGGGGACTGGGTGGGAGGAGGGGGTAAGTAGGCCTTTAACCTGTCAGTTTCAGTGTGTAAATCTGACAGCATTCCTGACAACACGACATGATACCGTAACTGACAACACATGTGACCATCACTTAGAACACATGAGACCATTACTGACAACAGATCATTACTAATAACACATGAGACCCTTACTGACAACAGCTCATTACTCATAACACTTGAGACAATTACTGACTACACATGAAACAATTACTGACTACACATGAGACCATTACTGACTACACATGAAACAATTACTGACTACACATGAGATCATTGCTGACTACACATGAGACAATTACTGACTACACATGAGACAATTACTGACTACACGTGAGACAATTACTGACTACACATGAGACCATTGCTGACTACACATGAGACCATTGCTGACTACACATGAGACAATTACTGACGACACGTGAGACAATTACTGACTACACGTGAGACAATTACTGACTACACATGAGACCATCACTGGCAGCACATAGATCTAACAAGTTTCCGTGACGTAATTGTAACAGCGTTCGCCAAGGGCCAACACATTGAAAGTCAACTTTACCGAAAAAAGATTAGTTGTGTGTAACCACGCGTGGGCCATCGAGCGACTTTTTTGGTATTCTCTAAAGATTCACATAATTGCCCCACACAGTCTTCTGGTATGAACATATGAATTGTGCGTTGAGAGTTTATTGCCTCTACTTTATCCAAGGGTTAGGTGGTGACTAACTATCCCCTGGGTCGATGAGCGGTCTCATGATAAAATATGAAGTATGGAGCCTCCTTTATTTTCTTCTCTGCACAAATTTTTTAAAGAGGTTTACAACTTGACGAGGGTGGGCGTCGGCGGTGTCGTGGTTAGGTGCTTAGATATCTAGCTGTAACAAGCAACAACAACAAAAAATGTGAGTTCAATTCCTGTACGGGAATGAGTTTTTTTTCCCTCAAGTATCTCCGTCCGTCTGCTGGCTGGGAAGTTGTATCTCTCTCAGCCCGGGTTGACCCTGACAGACAGTGTAGAAGCAGCCTGCCTCTTAAATGATTGGGAGAGTGTCGATGGGGGTGTGAAACAAACACAAACAAACACAATGTAAAATACAGAGACCCCCCCCCCTACCATGATAGGTTCTTATTTTGTGGGACGATTAAATCAACCTTCAATTTTACAGAGGCAGGCCAACTTGTCAGTATGTTTCAAGCACGTATTAGAATAATTCTTTTTCTATAGATTTCATGAGCTGCATAGGCCTTTCAAAAGCCAGGTCAGAAGTCTCATTGGCTGGGAAGTAAAAACCTGGGAAATATTGAGAACTACAGTATTATAGTTTATCCCTTTTCGTTGAAATCACGATTAAAATCCAAGGCTCATACTGGAAGACTCTTATCTTATCTTACCTTATTTATCTCTTATCCTATCCTATCCTATCATATCTTATCTTATCTTATCTTATCTTATCTTATCTTATCTTATCTTATCTTATCTTATCTTATCTTATCTTATCTTATCTTGTAAGACAAAGCTCGAATTCTCCTACAATTAAAAAATCTGCTGCGTTTGGCAATCTCGGAGCACCGTGCACTGGCAGCCTGTGTCCTTTGTGCACGGGTACATCACTAATTATCTCTGTCAGCTTGTTCTCGAGACTGGGTGCAGAAGTTATTCCCCTTCATTATACAAAACTGCAGGACGTTTGCGCTTCTTGCGCTTGGCAAATCTTGTCTGGAGGTAAGAGTGACTGCTGTTTTTTTGTTTTTGTTTTTGTTTTTGTTTTCGTTTTGTTTTTTATTTA